TAGAATCCAAAGAAGGAACAGCTGGAAAGTACTCAGCAGAGCAGTAAAACCAGATTGGATTTGCGAATGAAAGATGTGTTGCGTACTTTGAGTTTAGATACAGGAACAAAATTAAGATCCGGCCACTCTCTTACAAAAAAAAAATTTAAAGGACAATGAATGCATTACCCTTAACCTTCCTCGGACAAGGAGAAATACATTACTTTTGGACCCGAAGTATTGAAACACGTCAGGCGTGCTCTTCGAATTTTATCTCAGATGGTCCTGAAAAAAATGAAGTTACCACCCGATGCCATAAAATGCTTTTTTTGAAGTTGTGTTGTCAGCTCCGTTGGAGGGAAGAAAATCTGCTGCCTTGTTAACCAAACCAATTTGTCTAAATCCCCCACCCGTATAAATTAACATAAAACAAAAAGCTCTCAGGAGATTCGATTTTTGAGGGGGGAGGAACATCCACCCTAAAATACTTGCAAATCTTCTCCGTGTCTTATCGATCTATGCACATCGCTGCATTGCATGCTGTGCATTACAAGACATTATTTATGTCTATGCTGTGCATACTTTTCCAGACCACAGACAAGGGCGCCCTCAAACTATTGGGGTTAACAGCGGTCATGTAGCTGTTTTCCAATACCCAACTCGGCCGCCGCCTCAGGCGTCTTCTACGAAACCAGTCCCCGATTATTAGCCTGAACTTAAATTAAAGTACTGCAATGTTTGGCCCGTTTGCCTCTTATTGGATGTTTGGTGGCACTATCAAACTTACTTTTGCGCTTACAACTTCAAAGTCAGGTAGTAAAAAAAAAAGTTCAAGCCTGCGACTGACCGAAGTCGAGTATTGGAAAAAGCCAAGCCCAGGGATTAACCTGCTGCCAAGCTAACTGAAGTCATGTGAGCGACGCGACAAGTATAGTACAGTGCATGCAGTGCGGGGCAGGCCTAGGGGCCATATTTGCAGTGAAAGTGAAAGGTGTTTTGCTGTCGGACACGTTGACCACTGTACTCATGCTTAAATGGTCGTATGTTGCGGGCATGAAACAACCTTGGAGGTGATTCTGAATCTAGATTGACATGATTAAATAGATCAAAGCGAAGTTGTGGAAAAGCGGCAAGATCAGCACAGCAGGTTGGTAAAAAGCACTCTAAAACGTTCATGGCCTACAATGTGTATGTACATGCATGTTTTATTTCTCCATCGTCAGATCGTACATTTAACCATGCTGATGTTAGGCTTCTCACAGCCCAGGTTGGGCGTTGTCGTCATTCCCTCTGAAACGTAGTACGGTCAGGGAGTCCACCTGGGCTAGGCCTCTAAGCAGGTTAGTATGGTGTATCTAATTTAGTAGGCCTGGCCCCTATGTCCAAATGTTTAAAAAGGCAATTCGTAGAGTCCAGGTTATCGCCTTTTTGAACATTTGCACCATTCTCACAGTTGGGATGACATCACTTAGTCTTGATTCATCTCTCTGATCGGTCAAGTGGTAGCTATTCCATATTTCACGCTTGAGACTCGAACTCAAAGGGCCAGAGGCAATTAAAATGTTGCGGTCTATGGGTAAAATCTGAATTATTGACTAAATTCTTAACCTGTGCCCGAAATTTTACAATTTACGCTGTGCATATCCGGGGTTCATTACCATTAGCATCTTGTTCCTGTAATAAGGAAAACGAAATCCACTTTCCTGACTTTTTCAAACTAACTGACATTCAGACCTTGAGGATCCATTCCTTAATCCTAGTAGCTCTAGTTTAGGTAAATTTTGGCAATGTTTAAGCAAGAAAGCTACAATCTTTTACCTGAGTTTGGTGAAAGACGACTGCATCATGCCATTTTGTTTCACGTCTTGTTACCTAACCCCATTGTGGATGTTATGCCCCAACCATAGCGTAAGTCCCAACTATAGTTGGGCCCGTCCCAACTAGAGTGCCGCAGTTGGACCGGCCCAACTACT